TGTGGTTTTATGGCTGCACTGAATTTGTATTAATACGCGGCTGTGTTACAACTTGAAAGTTATTAAATTATACATACACATAGTGCAGATAGCAAAAAGTTAGAAAAGTTCATGTGTGGCTTTTTTGTTGGCATCAAGCTGACAGCACGCAGCACAGAACAGCACAGCAGCCATGAAATTTTAAAGTTCAGCTGTATCGAAAATTTACTAAAATCATATTGTAATACAGTCATTCAAAATAATTGGAATGCTCACGTCTATGACCATGCGAAGAGTTCGGCTGTCGTCAGCAAAATATTTTTAGTTTGTAGTTGATTTTGTAGTTGACGCTCAAATGGGTCTAAAAAAAAACTTACGGTGCAGTCATTATGGATAAAATTCTACTCATCCGCTTTTTATTCATTCGCTATAGATCTTATACAATTACTTATTTAAGTTTTGTTTGTTTTTCAATAAAGTTGTTTACACAAAATGCGTTTTAATTCACTTAGCGAGATTTTTTTGAGTGCGCATGCCCAGCAATGGAGAATCACTGAAAAAAGTAATAGGTGCAGCAGCAAATATTCTGTGATGGCATTTAATATGTTTAATTTGTAATTTGTGTAATTTTAGTTAGACTGTTTAGATATTTTCGGTGACCGCAGGCCTGGGTTCAAGCCCAGTTTCCCACATCAAATAATAAAAAATATCAAAAAGTTCGTTTCTGAAAGCGGTATTGCATATAGGTACTTACCGACAGTCTAACAGCAGCGCATGATCCTTTTGTCCAGCGACGGAAATCATTTGATCCATAATGCCACAGGGCATACCAGCAAACTTGTGTTCGGCGGCTTGGCATACAAGGGCGCGTATCTTGTTGCTAAAAAATTCCGGTAAAAATAAATACTTTATTTACTACTCGAATACTTAGTCTATGAAGCTAGCCATGGTAAAGCAAAAGTACAAAAAGCAAGAAAAGGTGCAGACGCCAGTGTTGCCAGATCGGACGTTTTTCCCCTAGATTTAGGTTTTTTGGACTGCCCAGGGGTAAATTTAGGGAGACCAAATATTTTGGTGAAAGCTTTAGAGGGAAGAAAATGCGTCCAGGGGAAATTCAAAATGGATTCTTGGGCGTAATCCGTTATTTACGTAAACGCTTTTATGTGTCGTGGGCTTATATTCAATACCCTTTACACTAGGGGTATTCACGATCCGGTGCATACTGTCTAGCATGGTGCATAGATAGCATAAATAGCAGGATTATTGTTGTTTCATGTATTCAAACAACAACAAAAAATAGCCAATCATGCTATTTATGCACCATGCTAGACAGTATGCACCGGATCGTGAATACCCCTACTATCTACAAATTACATCGAAAAAATAAAATTACAATAAATTCTAAATAACCAAATTTAGGGGTAGGAAAGGGAGATCTAGGCGAAAATGGCATGCCTTTCGGGGTAAACTACTGCAATAACCTGGCAACACTGGCGGACGCATAACAAGCTGCCTGCGAGAATTTTATACATGGTAGGTATGCTAAGCAGCAGTGCATACATTTAAAATTTTGTACACCGTGTATAAATACACATTTCTACTAAATTTTTGTCTACTAATTTACTCACCTCTCCAGTTGTTTACCGGTCAACTGTTCCAGGAAAGTCAAAGTCGCCATTTCAACTGCTGCACTCGAAGACAAACCGCCACCCACTGGTACATTGGATGCAAATATTGCATTGAAGCCAGGCAACTGACCCTCCAACTTCACTTCGTTGGCAAAATTATGAATGACACCTTTCACATAGTTGGCCCATCTGAAAAGAAAAAGTCGAAGAGCAACTAAGTTAGTATGCTGAAGTGTCAAATTAGTTAGTGCCTAGGTAAGTGCTTGTGTATATAAAAGAAAAGAATTTTTATTTGTGGTAGCATCATAGTATTCCACCGAAATAAGTTCATCTCTTCACTAGCTTTACTTTGTCCACATTGCACTTAAGCAAAACGTTGCAGGTGAAAATTTGCCGTAAGCCCTTAATGAACGCTCTAACCTTTGCCATTCACATTTCTGGACTACTTTGCGTCTAAATACACAATGGTTATACACTCATGCATGCACACACATACATACCAATCACATTGCGTAAACTACTTTGAGTTCATATTTTCATTTCCTTTGTGGCCTTACAGTTGAGTTGTTGGACTTTTGAAAGGAGCTCGTGTGCATGTGTGTAGGCACTATGGGTGTAGATGTGCATGCACAAGCAATTTCGCTTCTATAAGAGGGCTGCACAGGTTTTTGCCTCCGTTTTGAATCACAGCGAACTGAGTCAAAGTGCTTTATGTGTCGGTATAAACAAGGCAAGGCAAGGTTTTTCTATATAACATAATTTTTCCAAAGTCATTTTCATTTTCATTTGTGTCGTGAATAAAAAAAAAACTTTGTTATCCATAATTAGGCAAATATTTTTTCGTTTCACTGGGTTATATTGAAACTTTTATTTTCATGTTTATTGGCGCTGTAACTGCTTAAGCGATTTTGGCAGAGCCCAAATTAGCACGCCAGCAGTTTCCCGTCTGTGCCAAGTGACACCAATTGGTAATACCAAGTGAAGCCAAGTCCTTCTCCACCAGCTCTTTCCAACGCAGAGGAGGCCTTCTTCTTCATCTGTTACCAGTCTGATGACCCGCGTTAAATACTTTTAGAGATGGAACGTGTTTGTAAACTCGAGCATAACCTAGCCAGCGGAACCTCTGTATTTTAATTCGCTGCACTTCATCTACATAGTTGTAAAGCTTAAACAGCTCATCGGTAAATCGTCTGCCTTATTCGCCATCGCTAATGCGTAGAGGCCCGAATATCGTTCGCGTTATCTTTCTCTCGAAAACTCGAAGAGCCGCTTCATGAGATGTGTTCGTTGGCCATGCCTCCCAGGCATACACCAGAATAGGCATGATGAACGACTAATAGACTTTGATTTTGTACAACGAGGGAGGACTTCACTTCTCAGTTGCCTACTCAGTCCTAAGTTGCACTTGTTGGCATGGTTGTGATTCTCTCCATACTCCAGAGATTGTAAGCTCTTGTAAAGTATTGTGCTAGAGCGGTCCAGTCCAGCAACTCTTATTATCTTCTTCAATATCAGATGAAATAAATCACATAAAATGGCGTAAACTTATCTGATACCTCGTTTGGTATCAAATGGCTCGAGGAGGTACGTCCCAATTCTGAACGGAGCTGATGGTATTGATCAACGTCAATTACTCCATATTATATTTATGAAGTTGGATTTAAGACATTTTCACCGAATTATTCTGGTTTTGCGTGAGGCAATTCTGGCAGCTCTATTCTATACGCATACCAGTGCATTCATCTTTCAGTTGACTTGTTTATTTGTTTGTTTGCTGGACAGCCGGTCTCCTGTGCCATGGCTTGACGGTAGATATACGAGTATCTTAGGTTAGTCTGCAGACGAGTTAGCTAGTAGACAAGCAACATCACTCACCAAGTAGTTACTCATTGCAAAGCGTGCACATGTGTAGATGTTGTTGATGTTTGCTTCGAGAGCTACGATACTATTTTACCCACAAATACCTGACCTACGTTAAATACCTAGGTTTGTACTTGTCTGTGGGACAAGTAGCCATTGCTGCATTGGAGTTGATAAGCAAACAACTTGACGGAATCACATATGAACAATGAACAATGCTGGCGAAAATTAACTTAAAACTTATGTACCAAAATGTTTGAGTATCTTTCCATTGTTTTTGTGCATGGCAGCAAAATCTTGCTCTAAATTTAATATATATGTAAATACAGGTGGAATTGTGACGGTATGTTGTTTTGAATTGCCTTCCCTAGCGACGTGAAAATTACAGGGTATTAGCTAATACGGAAAATAAATAAAATATGTAATAATACTTTATTTCTGCTGTACATTTGTTTTTAATGAGCGAGTTAAGTTATTGCTTAGTACTCCTACCATGGCATATACCATACTTTTAGGGAGTAGAAACAAACATTCTTCTCTCAGGGAGTAGAAACAAACATTCTTCTCTGATAGGCGAGCGGCGATCAAAATACTTAAATTTTATAGGTCTACAATTGTCCACAAAATAATAGAAGTGCGATATTTTGGCCATTTTGACTACTTGCCTTTTGCTGTTTGAATGCTTATTATAATATATAAACGTCTAACTGGTTGTACCACAAACACTCTACAAACTAACATTTTAACCTTTGTACAAAACCTATAAAAACTCTGAAGACCACAATGGTATATGAACTGGCACGGAAGGGGTCCTCCGCTATCATCTTGCATACTCTGATCGGAACGTAATTTTGTGGGACGGGATAATAAAAAGTTGCTTACAGAACCCACATGAAGGATATTACGAGACATCAATTTGATAGGAGAATATCTGGCGAGCTTTTCCAACTGAATCTGCTTTGATCGGGTCTGCTTTGATCGGTCGGGCCACTGCTTGATGGGGACGCATGTCATTAAAATGGTAGTTGTCCCGAAATACCCGACGACATTACTTCCATCACTACTCTCTTACAATTATGCCAGATTGTGGGTAATTTCCCTATATGAGGGATATCTTGCAACAAAAATTATTAAATAGGAAAAAGGGGCGTTTTAAATAAGGAAAGGTATCTTCTTTTGACACAGTTATCGATGCATAATTGATCAAAACTCAAGAATATTCCACATTTTTATGTAATTAATCGTTCTGAAAGTGTGATGTGGAGTGAAATGATATATCGAGCCCTAACCGCCAAAATAACGTAAGCGACATTTTTTTAAAATTTTCTTTTTGATGCAGAAATGCATTTAGATGCGCTAGGAATATTTCTGCATCAAAAAGAAAATTTTGAAAAAAGTGTCGCTTACGTTATTTTGGCGGTTAGGGCTCGATATAATTATTAAAAAGTATGAGGACAATTTTGAAAATTTTCTCACGTTAACCAATTCAAGCGCTGAGTAAGAAAGAATATTTTCAATTAAAACTGGTGTTTCATGTAAAAAGCGGAACAAGTTATCTGATGTATGTGCTTCAATTTTAAAGTCTCCAAAAAAAATCATATTTGCTTAAACTATGCAAATAATTTGTAACAGTGATAGTTTTAGGAATTACCATTAAGTATACAACAATAAAAAACTCAAATATATGTAAGTATGCATTAGTTAACTTAATATGGAAAAAGTTTTTTTTCAAAATCTTGGGTTGTAAAAAATACTGAAGCCAAATTATGAATTTAGTAGATTTTAATTTAATTTGTAAACTCTTTTAGGCCCTAAGTGAGTAATCTACCGACCTTTGAATTTAGAAAGAATATTATATGTGTGTTGTAGTGGTAAGCAGTGCGTGCTTCCACTCCGCAGGGCCTAGGTTAAATCCCTGGTCAAAGCAACATCGCAAAAAAAAATTTAGAACAAAGATGTTTTCTAAACCTCTGAGTGTATTTCTGCCATGAAAGAAAGTTTCTCATAAAAATACACTCGCCGTAAACCTGTAGGTCCCTGCCCTTTGTGTGACAGCATCAAGGCGCATGCCACAAATTGGAGGAGAAGGTCGGCTAAACACTAACATATACACATTTGTAAGTGCCAATCTATTATTATAATTTTTTATGAATGTTACTTCTTTACTACTGAAATAAATATTGTTTTGAATTCTTTGGAAATTTTGTGGGATAAATTTTTGAGATGTGGGTAATGAAGGGTTTTTTTCCCGATTTTTGTGGAAAAGAACCATATACATATAGTTCTTATAATTTCGAGTATGCAGCTTTGTAGGACATACAATTTTAATATAACTAAGTGGAAGTTTCAAGTTTCTAAAAAAGTGCCACGCAGTTTTCCCGTACAAAGTATGTTCGATTTTTTTTTTTATGTATGGAAAACCCTGTCGGCAAAAAAAAAATATTCTAAAAATTTTTAGCACCTTGAAACTTAAAACTAAAATTTAGTGGTCTACAAAACTGCATTCTCGAAATTATTCGAGATTATTCTAGAGATTCTTATTAAAAAGTTGTAAATTTGTATGCAAAATTTTTGAGACATTTTGGTCCGCCATTTTGAAACAAACAAAAAATAGTAATTCTGAGAAAATTTGAGATGAAAGTAAATATGTTAAGGATAGTCTTTTTCCCTTTAGTCCCGTTTTGGAGATATTTAAAGGTTCCTCCTGTCACAACTTATCTGGGCTCAAATTTGTATGCAGGGCAAAATTTTGCAAAATTGGTTTTCCCCAATTAAACACTCACTTAAACACCAAAAGAGAGGTTTTACTTTACACTACCACTAACACAAAACATCTTTATCTTTAGTTTACTAGAGTTTTGAGATGTAGTATATTTTTCATCAAAATAATGAAGAGGAGAGTAGAAGTTGCGCGCAAAAGAATGAATAAATTTGTTATTGTGTGTTTAAAGCAGCAAAATATAAGAGAAGCATTTTGAGATGGTATACAAATACTTATTTATTTATCTACACCGACAAATTTTCAAAATGCACGCAGATGCAAGACTGTATAGTATAGTTTTTGAAAATCCTTTATCGTTGCTTATCCAATGAAATGCTGGATTGGTTCAAAAAACCACATTTTCCTCTGACAGTTAGACATCCACTTCACAAATGTGGTTGGACTTACATTTGCATGCCCACACCTCTTTTGGATACTTTTCTCTGTATATTGCACTCGAATATTAGATTTCTTTTTCTTATTTTTTGTTCGCTTTTCGTACGCAGCGATAATATCATTTGAGCAAGTAACAACTAGGTGGACATGTAGCTATTTTTTGGCACTAGATACGAAAGTGGATGGGCGCCAACAGCAATTTGCGAAGTTCCTAGAAAAGTGTAACTCGACGCCAGTATGCAAGGTGAATAAATAGAGTAGATGAGAAGGTTATAGACTGCTTAAGCATAATGAAAATAGGTGAGTTAACTAACCGCCCAATACATATACATACACGTAATTATAGCGCATACTTAACCACCAACAACTGACAGCTAACTACTAAGAAATTTTTGATGCTGCAAAATAGACAAGCTTTCGCTACTCGTCTTCTTTATATACTCGCAGTAACCAGTTAAAATAGCACTGTAAGGAAAATCTCACGTTCAGAAATGGCACAAAAAACGCCGACGCCTGAACACGTTAACTAAATATTGGGTCGTAGATTATATATCTGTGTACCGTTTTTTTCAGATCAGGTCACTTTCTCAAGATATAAATTAAAAATCAGAAATAACTGTTATTTAAGGAGTATCTAATTAAATAAAAGTCAAAAAATAATTATTGAAGAGCGATTTTTATAATAAAAGTTAAAATTGTTACGGTCTCTGGCTTGCATCCATTATTAAGTCTATCTAACTAGTCGAAATAACGAAGGCATGCATATATAGACAAAAATCCTTCTAAGCTACAACATTCAGCCACATGAAACTTCTGCTAAGTACATATATTGTTTAGATTTAGTGGACAAAAAAGGCAAAGTCACTCGACAAATTCTGTTTAAAAATTTACTTTGTGATGCTCTCTAAATGCTTAACTTAAAATGCTTGCTTTATTATCGATCACTTTTACCGAACTGGCCGGCTTTTTACTGCAGGGTATTGCAAGCGCTAACAAATGCACATACACACAGACGTACATTATGCCCAAGGCATAATTATTTCGCCGAAGTACACGTTTAAGCTTAGAATTTCGCATTGCATAATTTTAGGCATTCGAACCCTTTGACACAATTAATTACCTGTAGCTACTTACTTTGGCGCTTCCGGTTTCAAATCGAGTAGCGAAAATTCCACATGCTTTGGGTCATCACATCCACCACAGTGCGTAAACACTGAAGCCTTAGTGTCCGTGCGACGGCCGCCAACGATCAGTGTGACCATAGGGAGCGCCTAAGGGCAGGCAAGAAAAGAAAAAAATATCTGCGTAAGAGCAAGAAACTACGATATAATAATAAAAGGCAAGCAATTCAAGAAAAAAGGCTAGCGAATCGTCAATTTAAGGCTTTAGCTACAAAAGAGCAAAAAAATATTTTGTATTTTTCTTCTTTTTCTCTACATTCAACGCTCAATTTTCTAATTAGTAGTTTTTCACCGCTACTGAATACCTTTTTCTCTCTTTTTTTTTTTGTTCGCCTTTGTCCGTTTGCTCTAAATTTTTTCATGTAGCTGGTTTAATTAGGATTTTAGTTTTTTCCCGTATTTTGTACTTACCATTGGCAGGACAAAACCGTCATTGTAGTCGATATGTTCACCAATCAAATTAACACGTCCTGGTGCGCAGCAGGCCAGTTCTGGATCAGCGCCAAAAATTTCATGATATGTCGATTTGGCCAATGCCAAAATTTCTTCAAACGTGGCTAGTTTGGTGACGGCAGGCATTATTATTGTCTCAGTTTACTTGTTACTTGTAGAATGTGCAATGCTGGGGTTAATATTCACCAGCTAGTGATTGCTGATTGCTGCTAATTAGTGGCACGTAGAAACACGAGGAGATTGAGTAATTAGACTTGCTTGAAAATTTTCTGATAGACTAACTGTGTACCACTTTTTTGGATAATTACTGCAAAAAAAAATAATTACAGTGAAGAAATGTCTTGTTTGAATATAAAATAGTCTGATATTTGCTTTGCATGTTTTTTCTTTGGTAAAAAGTATCATTTAGATTGGTTAGGTTGCGCGTTAAAACACGTTAATAAAGCAACGGTAGGTACAGATATAAGGGGAAAATTGCACATAGATGGGAACTGTCCGCAAGTATAATGTACTGGCCTTACACAGCAGTTGTTAAGCCTATTCTGCTCTATAGGGTATTGGAATGGTGACCAGGTCTCAGCAAAACTACAACTGAAGCACTTCAAAAGGTGGAAATAACTGCGTTGCTCTGCATCTTCGGGGCTTTGCTCACAACTCAATTGGAGATAATGTGCCTCTTACCCAATATTTTGCCAATCAACATTGTTTTAAAACAGTTAACAAGCTGGAGAGACATTCAGGATGGCCACACCGTAATCTTAAAGAACATAGATATACCGGACACAGATTACTGTGTACCAAGTCATAACTTCATAAAGAGGTATGGGATCACTCCACTTCTACACCGATAGTTGTAAACTAGAGGGCAAGGTAGAATGAGGGACTGTGCAGCGTATATTGCAGCGTCTTTCAAGCTGCATATGTAACAATATCTTCATCTACTCCGACAGGCAGGCGGTACTAGAAGCGCTTGACTCGGTCACATGCACCTCTGAACTAGAGGGCTTAGCATTATGCTCTACACATGGTGTGGGTTCCGAGGCCGGTCAAGGCGGGCGAACTTGCAAGAAAGAGCATACCCCTCCTATTAAGCCACCCCGAAAGGGAATGGAAGCAAGGAACAGGTGGAATAGTCTCACAACTTGCAACGACATAAACTTATGTGGCCGAAATGGAACGAGAAGCGGCCGAAAGGTCTCCCCATGCTGAGCGGAGGGGGCTTAGCCGCAGCCATGGGCCTGCTAAGAGGCCATGTTGCCATTGGAAGGCGCGCGTAGAGGCTAGGGGTTGCACCCAACGACTTCTGCAGAAGGTGCAGAGATGAAAAAAGCAAGGAACTTTACGGAACCTGATATGTGAATGCTCGCGCTTGGAAAAAAAAGACGAAAGTTCTTGGGCTCAGAATTCTTCGATGGTTGAACCGACATTGCCGAAGTATGAATACGGCAACATTTGAGTTTCGCAGACTTCATACGATATGCCGCGACGGTTTAAGTAGGGCGGTTCTAACGTCCCGCGTGGTATCACAAAGGGGCCTAAAAATAGTTAAGGCCCAAGTGTGCTACCGAGTAGCCTAGTGCTCTTCTTCTGAGGTGATCCTTTTAGCTAATTTAGTTGGACCTAATGTCCCGCCAACAGAGCTATTCAAGTACGGCAAAAAGTTGTTGATAAGGTGCATGCATCAACTATTATAAAGAATATGGCGTGTGCCGTCCCCGAATTGTATGAAATACTGAAGCCTACCATTACCTTATCAATGCGGCGGAGATCCGGTATTTATAACACGTCAAATACTGAAAACGACACGCGGAAAGAGGATTGACACACAACGTCTATTTGGCGATTTCAAAGTCGCCTTCGACAGCAAGACAAGGAGTTGTATTTATGCCAAAAAGTCTGAGCTTGTTATCCAGCAAAACTAATAACAATAATAAGTGTTTGGCCGAGCTTCTCCTCCAATTTATGCTATACGTCTTGATGTTGTTACGCAAATGCCGAAAGGCAAAGATATTTTATAAAAAGCTTTTTGAAATACGATGGTATGAGATTTACTTCGGGTCCCACACTGACGGGATGTATGGCTTTCGCTGCTTCCTTCTCGTTAAAAAAAAAACTCACATAACTGTTGGCCTTTATGATTTCGAAAAGTAGACAACTGAGAAGTAGAGCCCTCTCAATAATATATATGTATAAGTCCGTTAAATGACAACATCCGATGAGGCGCGCCTTGGAGAGTTCGAGGGAAAGGTTCTGCGAAAGACTGGCGTGTAAATATTAGTTACAGCACCGATCGCGAAGAAAAAAATTCAAACAAAAAAGTTCAAGTTCGTAGCATGCGCCCCATTTTCACATTAGATCTCATAAATCGCATATAAAGAGTACTGTTAAAATTTTGGATTAAAACATATCAAGATATTCTATAAGTCTAGGAAAAAAGTTCTATAAAGATTTTATATTTTGCAACCAATAAATAATTCCGTGGTTTACTTATTTTCGTTTTAGCGTCACTAATTCATATAAAATATGAGCAGAAACTAATTTCATTTAAAGAAATGCAGAATATAAACCTTAACTGTTGGCATCATCAGAACGCATAAGATAAAGCTTTTGTTGCATATTTCTAAACGCAGTAATATTGATGCGGATATTGAACACACCGCTGTTATAAAACCCCATGAAACAAACTGTTAAATAATGGATTGCCGTCGGGTTCTAAGCTAAAAGCTTCAAGTTTGAATTGATTTCAAACTTTGTACTGAAATCCGGATAAACAAAAAAGCGACTTTACATGAGCGTGGTAATAAGACATCTCAATGAGCTTTTTCTTGAAGCAAGTAAGCATAAGATTACAAAAATAAAAACTTTATCCTCCTCTTATAGCATTTTTTAATTTGTATCGTTTATTTAAAAAAAAAATCAAAAATCAAGCAAAAAGTGCAAAAATTAAAGCACAAGTTTCCTGATTCACAACAAAAATTAGGCTGTTCATAAATTTGTTCGCTTAGGCTCTGTAGCTGCATTATTCACCGTACTTTCACCAACGCAACGTTTCGCTCTGTTTACACATGAGCAGAGATCAGCGAACGCTAACAAAGCGAACGACCACCCAACGCCAGAAACTTTTCAAATAAAAGTCTCAAAAGTGTTTTTAAAGGCATCATAAAAATAATAAAAATTAAAATAGAAGTAACTAAAAAGTAACTTTAATGCAAACGTGTCGACGCACATAAAACAATTTCGCAAAAAGGCAATAAAACCATGAAGATAAAATCGCGAAGGCAAAGTAATATGAATAATCATACACACATGAAGTCTTTTATGACTTTCCGGTTCATCTTCCACTTTAACGGACTCTTGTAAGGGTAAATTGAAAGTTTTATTTGTTTATTTAAAAGGCAAGGTTTAGTTTAGAAGATTGCAAGTCGTACATTTCAATGTGGAAAATGTATGTAGGTACATATGTTCACAGAAATATGAGTGATTTAGTTTTGTTTTCGTATAATAGTTTAACGAAATCAAGTCAATATGGGTATATACATACATCTGTTGTCATATGGAATAGTAGCTTAAGTCGGGAGACGGGCTTTAGTATAATGTAAATATTACAAGGGCCAGCAATACGCTACCAAAAGGCGAAAAGGTGCCAAGTCCACTTTTTTTTAATTTAGTTTTTGATGCAGAATGACAGATAATAAGAGACAACCTATATTAATCACTTCTGAAAAAAAAATTGACTTGTCACCTTTTTACGTTTAGGTAATGAATACTAACTAATAGTTCTCTATCTACATATATTCTTTTTCTTTTTTATCGGTATCCTCATCCTCATCTTTTTCTTCATGTTTAACTTTATTTTTACCCTTTTTTCATTAATTGCTTCATCTACACTTGCCCCTTTACCTTTGTCGTAAAGAGTTTAAATTTACCTTGATCTTCATTTTCGCATTTAAGACCTGAGACATTCTGAACAACTGTGCAAAGAAATTTTCCCGAAAAAAAAACAATCAGATAAAAGTTAGAAGCCATCAAAGAGGGCATACCTTGAAAATTCCCGTGGAGGCAAAATTTACAAAACAAAATGTTTATGAAGACATGCAGAAAACTTAAAAATCAATGTTGCAGAGCGATTCCTCATGCCCGAAATAGGGTAAAACCTTTCTCTCCGACAATGGGTACCTTTTGCGGCTGTGTATAACATTTGCATATGTACTAATAACATTTCTACCAGGTGGTTTGGTTTCCTTATCTTATGCGGTGTTAAGCAATCCCTAATTGAGTGAAAAACAAAATCTGCAAATAAGATATGTTATATGGAGATACGACACTATATTTACTGCAACGCAAATCCAAATAATAGCATCCGTCAATTGGGTAACGTAGTACAGTGATCTTGTTATTGTTGCAGCTTCTTTTTTCACCAAATAACTACCTCATGAAGCAACTACATTTGTATGTACATATGTATGTATATGCAGTACTCTAACAACGTAACATTGACAACGCACAAATACATATGTATTTCTCGGAATACATTTCTCATTTGTACAAAAATCTACTCGAGCTAATATAATAGGGGTATTCTCGAAGTCTTGCACGATGCACGGATTGC